TGCAGGATAAACTATTTAATTAAAGCAGTAAAGTTCTTTTCAAACCAATCAAAGCAACAAGCAGGAGGAATAAAAGCCAAGAAATAATAAGATAAATATATCTCTGTCATTGGGTGGGGTCCCTTGCCAGCTTTGCCCTACAAGTGCCTTCTATTCTCGCCTGCCACATTGTGATGGTTTAGATCATAGATAGTAAATAGGGAGGCTGCCCTCAAGGCACTATGCTGTAGCCATCTTGATGGACCCCACTAAACTGTGTGGGTTCTTAGACCCTTTGCTGGGTCCCATTCTAAGTAAGTGCCTCACGGGACACCCCAAGCCTTATGGGCTAGATACACGACTCCAAAACCGTCCCTTTATTATACCCCATGCCTCACATATGGTATGCTGACGCCGTTTCTCATGATGAGGCCTTGGCAGCTTAATTCAGCCTCAGTAACTATCTGGCACTGGGGTCTGCTCACCTCTGTCACTGTGCCCTCTGGCACTGGGGCTCTGCATGGTAGTGTGCCCCAGTGAGGCCTCCTCCTCCTCCCCAATAACCTCAGTCTGGTCTACTGAATTAAAAGCAACAACATAAATATGACCCCTGGGCTATAACAGCAACCATAACCCTGGATGCTTTAGTCTCACCAGCAGCAGCACAGGCACCCAGGTATCTCCATGGAGCTTTTCTCCACAAGCTCTACTCCCCCTGGCAGATGCCAGGACCCTAACTGCCTTCAGTCCCAACCTTGCCTCCTTCCGGTCAGCTGGACTGAGTGCAGGTGCAGGCTAATTCCCTCCTTAGGCCTGCTGCCACAGTAACCTGCACCTGTGGGTTTTCTGCCTGGCTCCTAAGGCCCTCTCTCTAGGCAGTTTCTGCTCTTAAAGGAACAGGCACCTTAGTGCCCTGCTGCAATCTGGGAATAAGGTTCATGAGAAAACTGTTACAAAAAAAAAAAAAAAAAACCAAACAAACAAACAAACAAAAAACTTAAAGGTTTGCTCTTGATTAACTTCAAAAGGGTAAGCAAAAGATAACTTGGTTCACTTGTCTTTATACAATTATAATTTACTTCTTCATGTTGTAGGCATAATACTAAATTCCATATAGAGTCTAAATTATGTTATATATTTTTCCCCACTAATATTTAAAGGGCACATTTCCAACATGTAAAGAAAAAGGCTCTCTTTTTTTTTTTTTTTTTTTATTTAGTAACAAAACATTGTGTGGATGGATTTTTCCCCCCCCTCCCCCATAGCTTTTGTTGTTTTTCCTTTTCTTCTACAGTTTGCATGTAATTTCTCTCCCATAGATACTCTATGACGATTTTTGCTCAGGGCCCCTCATTTGCTAAAGCTGCACCTAGGTGGCTAAGATCTCAGGGGCAAGGGAGGTCATCTGAAGAAAAGATGAACGGTCTGTGGGTTTAGGCAACTTCAAAGAAATGGGAGAGGAGGACATAAGGCGAGTGCGGGGATCAGCAACTCTGGAGGAAGGCAGAAGAACACACAAACAGTGAGAGGGGCAATAGATCAACATGTCTGTGCTAGAAATAGAGAAGACCCTTCAGTCCTCAATGAGGGAAGATGGAGGGGGATTACCACAAACACCAGACATTCCTGGAAGCCATCTGCCTTGCTCTCATATACTTCTCTTAGCCCTGACCCAAGATTTGATCACGTCTCGTCTGTCCTGCCTAGCTCACTGCAACAATGCTTCAGCATCTACCCTTCCCTCAGCTAACGCCCCCAAGCCATGAGCACCCATTGCCCACTTGGTGTTGGGTTAGGCATTAATATACAGGCTGGTGTCCTACCAGGCCTTTAATGATGGGGGACATGCTGGCTTTATGCCACTACTGTAGGAACCCAAAAGTAGCTGTGCCACCCAGAAACATTTCCCTGCATCCTTCCTACCTCTGTCTCACCACACACAATGCACTTTTAGGCTAGGTAAATATGCAAGGGCCATCTACCATCCCCCTCTTCACTTGATTTCCCACAGCGCTGATTTCCAACTAGCATCATGCTTTTTTCTGCCCTGGTGAATGATGATGGGGAATCCTGGGCTGAGCAGCAAAGACTGAGGAACCCTAAATAAAGCAGTTTAATAGAAACATGTATCAGGGCTTAGCTAGGATGGGAGGCTATACATAGCAATGACTTGTTCAACAGCAACCCCTACTGGTTAGAATAGGAATTCCTCCCTCCTTGGGGAGCAGGGGGAAGAGGGAAAGGACAGAAATGGAGCCATGCCATCAATTATGGTAGTCCTCATCCTCAGAACTGGGGCAGTCACTCTCACTAGCAGGGCAGGGGTCAGGGATTGATTAACTGACTTGCTAGATATAGTCCAGTGAGACTAAATGGGCAGGATATGCAGAACAAGCATTACAGTAAAAAGAAGCAAAGAGGTGGGAAAGTATCCATACAGATTGCTGCAGTCATTGCTATCATCACCCACCTCAAACAGAGCTGGGTTTCAAACACTTGTGTGCTTAGACAATCCGCTATCATTCCTGGAAACAGCAAAGAACAGGGAGGAATGAGTTTAAATAGGAAAAACTGGAGTCTATTTTTTCCTAGGCAGAGACATCTGATTTTTTAACATAACAGAGTAGGGTGACCATCCTAATTTAGCCAGGACAATCCCAGATTTCAGAAGTCAGTCCCAGCTGGCTGTTGAGAATTATAATGCGCGTCCTGGAAGTGCAGCAGCGTGGGGCCCTGTCTGGCTGGGAGTTGGAGTAGCACAAAGCAGTTTGCAGGCAGGCGTGCTGGCATCTCTGCCTGCCTCGCATGCCACCCTGCCCCCACTGACCTGTAAGGGTGCAGGCTGGGGAGGAGGGGGTGGGGGGCAGTGGCCCAGATTTCTTTATGGTCAACTTAACTAAGAAGAGACACTTGATTTTGAAACTAAACCAATATAAAATATAAGAAACTCTTCCCTTCTTCCCACCCCAAGACATGCGTTTTCCCTCCAAAAGAATCCATATTCAAATTAGGCTCGTTTTGTAATCGTTCTAGACTATTTTTCTTCCAGTTTTGACAAAGCCTCTTTTCCCCAGTCAATCAAAAGAGTTGTTAAGTGTATTAGGAGGCATTGCCCCCCTCTTCCCCCCACCCTGCACACATCTAAATCCTAGTATTTCATTAACAAAGGAGTGAAAACAGAAGCAACTATGCTGGCCTGAGCTAGGTCCCTGCCAAGCCTCCAGCTCTAGTGAGAAGACACAAGCACAGAATTCCCTTGAGAACACAGAGTTCAGACAACACTTCTTCTGTCCATTACTAGGTCCTGAGCTTTGCTTTCAAAGAGATGTTAAGGTCTCAGTTTAGTCATAAGAGCTTTATTTTTGTACCAAGACAACATGGAAAAGGGGGAGGACCCAGAGCCAGGCTAACAGCCCTGGCTCTTTTTGGAAAGCATTAAGCTTGCTTTTCTTGCACAGCTGATGAGAAGGCAAAGCTTGAAATTTTTGGTTCCAAGGGCATTTGTACACATAACAGGGATTAGTCCTTGGGGTTTTATTCTATACCCCCGAAATGGAAACAGTGCTGCATAGAATAAAACCCCGAGGCCTAAGCCATTCCAATTTTTCCTTCACGTTATGGCAAGGGGCCCAATCCTTGGGTTTTTTTGGTCAGAGCTGGAGCATGCCCATTGGGGTTGCTACCAGGCTGTATGCTATCCTAGCTCGGAGGCAGCACCTGGCTTGATCCAACTCTTACCTGACCCTGAGCTCAGGCAACCAGCCTGCTAGCAGCCCACTAGGCAGCCCTATGGGGCACTGCTACCGTGGAGGGAAGGACCAGGGCTCCCTACAGCTCAGAGGTCCCTTGGCACACCAGCAGCTAATGCCACCCCCCCCCCAAAACACACACACACACACACACCCCCCCTCTACAGGAGAGGCAGGCAGGCTCCCTCCAAAAAAAAAAAAAAAAGTTGGGCTCCTCACTGCTTCTGCCTTCAGTGTAGGTGCTGCCTGGGAACAGGCTGGCTTGCCCCTGGAGCAGTGCAGGAAGGCGGCAGGAAAACAGCTGGAGAAGGCAGCAGAGACAGTGCACAGGGCATGGGGCTGCCCACGTGGGCTGCTAGCTGGCCAGGTGCTGCCCCAGATCGGAGGCACCCAATCCAGCACTTACCTTATCCCATCCAGGCTTCCAGCACCCCATGCACCATCCCCACCACCTTCTTCAGCTGCCAGCACACCCAGTTGCCTCTGCAGCAGTGTGGGAAGGTAGCAGGAAGGTGGCTGGGTGTGCTGGCAGCCAAAGAAGGTGTCAAGGATGGTGTACAAGGTGCTAGAAGCCTGGGCAGGCTCAGGGAAGTTTTTGGATCAGGTACCTCCAGGCTGCGGAAGCATCTGACCAGCAAGCAGCCCACTCGGGTTTCCAGTGCCCCATGCACCATCCCTGCCACCTTCTCCAGCCACCAGCAAACTCAAATCACCCTCCTGCTGCCTTTGCAGGCTGCTCCAGGGGCAAGCCAGCCCATTACCAGTAGCCCCAGGTGTCCTGCCAGCTGTAGGATCCTGCTGCAGGCAGAAGCAGGAAGGGGCCCCA